CGGAGTCCGAGCCGAAGTCCTTAAAATGACCTACAAGGCCTCTTGTGCTCTTCCTCATCCCCTTGCCCTGCTTTGCCCTCCGCTGTGGCTCTCCTCACCCTCACTCAGCCTCAGCCACACTGTCCCGAGCTCTCCTTGCCACTGACTGTGTCCTCTCTGCAGATAGCTATTCCCCAGTGGCTTTATGGCTGGCCAGTTCCCCCACCTCCCACAAGCCTTTGCTTAAATGTCACCTTCTCAGGAAGACCACTCAGAAGACTTCACTTACAATTACAATGCACTTCTTCCTCCCAAGTCTCCTGGGTCCCCTTTTTCCCTGCTCAACGCATCAATGCTTCATAGCATCTGTTACCTTCTAATGTGCATGCATGCATACATGCACGCACATGTAAACACACACACTCTCTCTCTTTCTAGTGTTCATTGTATGTTGTCTGTTTCTCCAGGCTCCTAAGCTCCCTGAGGGCAATGTTCAATGCCGCTACATCCCAAGTGCCCAAGACAGTGCCTGGCACATGGGAGGAGCATGATTAAGTATTTGTTGAATGAATAAATGATAGAGGCTGAAACTCAGGGAGTGGCAGCAGAGTTGGAGAGAAGTCTTGGATCTGAGAGAAGGGCACCAGGTAGGGTCGGTAGGACTTAGTGACAGGTTGGATGGGGGTGAGACAGAGAGAGGATGGTGCCCAGATTTCTGATGGGGTGTCTGGCTCATGGTGGTGCCCCTCTCTGGAATAGAAAATGCAGAAGAAAGAGGAGTAGGAGGTAAGTTATGAGGACAGGTCTCAGTGCTAAGTTTGAGCTGTCATCAGGCATCCAAGTGATAATTTCTAGAAGGTGTGTAGGTGTGGACTCAGGGGCATTGTCTTGCTGGAAGGTAGAGGTTCATTTGAGAGTTCACATGTTGATGGCAGCTGAAGCCGTGAGCTTGACTGGTATCACAGAGCCAAAAACAGTCCTGGGAAACACCAACCTATAACATAGCACAGAGAGAAAGGAGGATCCCGGGAGGAGGTGGTGACTCCAAACACAGTAGTGATGTTAGGAGAGCTAAGAAAGGAGAGAGTTTTAGGAAAGGGTGAGGGGTGAGTAATCAAGTCAGTTAATGCACAAAGTTCCAGAAAGGCAGACTGAGAAAAGTATATAGAGTTTATCCTTGTAGAATTTCATTTCATTAATAATATAAGTTCCTTTGCATAAATCGTGAAAATCTGTAGTATGAACTCACTCCAGTTTCTAGCCACGTAAACGTTCTTGAATTGTTTTCTGATAACAGTATCACTGGTATTAAACCTGTTTTCTGTTTGTCTTACTGTTCTGTGCAGGACTCAGAAATTGCTCAGATTATAGCTAAAGCACAATAAATTTTCCCATGGGTGTGTAGATTAGCCTCAGGGTTCTGTCTCGAGCTTTGTGGCATAGAGAGAAGTGAATAATGCATATAAAAATGTAAACAACTATTCTGGACGTGAACAGTTTGAAGCCTTAAGATAGTAACTCTTTTAATTCTTCCAGTTTTCAATATGAAAGCTGATTTCCAATGAGGCTACAATGACATGAGTTTTTCCCGAAGAAAAATTCATCGTCACAAATATCATCATTTCTATGTTAGTCAGAGTAAGGCTAGCCTTTTGTAACAAAGAGACTGAAGAATACATTGCCTCAAATAACAAAGAGGTTTATCTTTTCCTTCTGTGAAGGTCTGAGATGAGTGATCCAGGTCATAGGACGGGACTCCACTTGGTCATTTAGGGCCCCAGGTTCCTTCCAGGTCATTGCCCCCATTGTGCCCTAGGGATGTCTACATGATTGAACTAGGACTGCTGCCATGTCTAAATAGTGGCCCGTGGGAAGGAAAAGAGTGTGAAGGGACACCCCATGATCTGAAAACCTAAACCCAGAAGTGGGATACATCCTTCCATTCCATTGGTGAAGAATACCATGTGGCTCTACCTAACCACCAGGGCCTCAGACATGGGATCTAACCAAGTTCCCAAGAAGAGGAGAACAGATTTTAGTGTACAACTGTTAAAAGAAAAAGCAGAACCAGACAGTAGTAGTAGCAAAAACAGATTTTATCCAGGAACTAATGCAGTAGGAGAGCAGAGACCTTAGCATAGAACTGGGCACTGGGGCGCCTGGGTGGCTCAGTCGGTTCAGCGTCCGACTTCGGCTCAGGTCACGATCTCATGGCTTGTGAGTTCGAGCCCCGCGTCGGGCTCTGGGCTGATAGCTCAGAGCCTGGAGCGTGTTTCGGATTCTGTGTCTCCCTCTCTCTGCCCCTCCCCTGTTCACACTCTGTCTCTGTCTCTCTCAAAAATAAGTAAACATTAAAAAAGATTAAAAAAAAAAAAAAGAACTGGGCTCAAATCCAAATACAACATGGGCAGTGGAAACTTACAGCCAAGGATCAGGGTGGGGGTCAGTGGATGGAAAATGACTAAAGAGAAACCTCAGGGGTGAGGAGATTGCTGAAGGCAGACCAGGGTGAGCAGATATCAACTGGGAGATGAGGAATTTGATCAGATATCAGGAGCAGGAGACTCTGGCTACATTGACTTAGCAGGATGTTTTCTAAAACTGAATGATGCAAAGAGGGACATAAGTCCAAAAAGAACATGGAAGTCCAAAGGTTGAGGCCTAGTTGGGAAGGTGATTCAGAGGAGCCTACCTATAGTTTGCTCAAAGAGAATCACAATTAGCACAATTAGCAGTTTCACTCATAGTACTTCCATTGAAATCTGAATATTTTAATAAACCACTGTAGGAACTTGCCATATTCATTGCTACAGATTATGGGAGGCTTATACTTTTCATAAAGCATCTAAGGTTGGGGCACTTCCCAGTTGAATTCATTCACATGTGTTTTGGAGTATCTGCCACGTACTAGGTACCCTCTTGGCTGCAGGGGTGGAGCCAGGACCTTGGCAGATCCAGGACAGGCCTGGGACTCAGGTTACCTGGTCCTCTTCCTGTTAAAAAGATCCATCCATCTGCCATCTCTTCTGTATATGAAGTTTTTCTTCCATGAATCACCTGTCTTTCCAGACCCAAAACAAGTTTTCATATGTATAGTTAGATATTAACATACCATTAAGTAGTCAGATGCCCTGAAAACTTGCACCAGCGCTGCAAACACTGCCCGTAGTGAAATTTCATTCATGAAATTGGCAGCAAAGCCTTCTCAGATCCTCAAAAATCACCAGCCCATAATAATGACCTGGAACAGAACATTTGACTCCTGTTGACGGATAGCCTTTGTTTATGTGGATTCATATTGGCAGCCTCATTGTCAGTCTGGAAACCTTATTCCCCAGTTTGCAAATGTTTATCTGTTTTAGCCTCAGGAGGAACAACATACCCTCTGTGTTTATGAAAAAGACACAATGCCCTGCAGCAATCCAGAATAATTAGACTGTATTAGGATTAGCATTCTCTAATTTTAAAGTTTATTTGTTTGTTTGTTTAGAGAGAACACACACACACACACACACACACACACACACACACACACACACACACGGAAGAGGGGCAGAGAGAGGGAGAGAGAGAATCGCAAGCAGGCTCCAGACCCAGTACAGAGCCCAACTGGGGGCGCCATCTTAGGACCATGACATCATGACCTAAGCCAAAACCCAAGAGTCGGAAGCCTTACAGACTGAGCCACCCAGGCGCCCCAGCATTCTCTAATTTTAAAACATTTTTTTAAAGATGGACTTTTTTTTAGCGTTATGTTTTTGAAAGATAATAGAAGCATTTTAGTAGTTACTTTAAAAGCATTGTCAAAGTTAACTGGGCTTTCAGACAAGAGAGGTCTGCCATCGGGACAATTTATCCTTGCTTCCTTTTCATGCTGCTTTAGCTTAGCTGGGAACTAGTCTTATCTGTTCACTTCTGTTCAGCTGGAGAATGGATATACATTCACAGGTCATTTCATTATTCAGGGAAATTGTATATCAGCCGTTAGAAAGATAAATCTTGATTTACCCATGTACTGCATGGCAAAAATATAAATGATGTCAGATATTACCAAAAAAAGATGTTTTTTAGCTCTTCATAACCACCCTCCCATGAAATGAAATACTGTATGTGCAAAATGCAATGTGAACTGTAGAGAACTATGGCGATCTTGGTTACCTTAATCAGTTAATTTTCTTCAAAGGAGATTTTCCCCAAGGTCAGTTAAGGATTACTGAGGGGCAGGTTGAGGTAGGTTTGCTAGGAGGAAGGGGCAGCATGTGGAAAGTGTTGGAAGCATGAAAGAACAAGATATGTTGGGGGTAGAGAAGGCAGTTGGTTGCGTGTGACCAGAGCCCAGCATTAGAATGGAGAGGGTGGGGAGCCCTGAACCTCAAGTGAGGTAGGGTTGGAACAGGCAGATGGGCCACACACCGCTTCCATGGGAAGATGGCAGTGAACAAGAGCAGGGACGGTCGGCCTTGCCTTTAGGTCAATCCCCGGCTGTGAAAAAGGCAAGATTAGACGAGCAAGATTAGGCTAAAGTAGACCAAAGAGGAGCCCGTGCCATATGGACAAAAGCTGCAGGTCGTGGCTGCAGGGATGCAGGAGAAGGGGGGTAGAGAAGCCCCAGGAGGACACGTCTGCAGGATTGGGTGGCAGATGGCATGTGTGGGAACAGGGGAGGGAGAAGTCAAGAAGGGTTCCCAGCCTGGACATGACTACCCGGTGGGATTCCGTAGCCGCCTGGGGAGGGAGACCGGAGGGGCGCAGGTTGGGGATCTGGGTGGTGGAGGGCAAAGGTGACACCCATAGTGCTGGGAATGATAGCTGCTTCAGCAGAGGTTAGGGGCTCAGGCTGGCCTTGTGGAACGTCAGTGGTCACGTAATAATGGTACTGGAATTTAGAAGCGATTAAGCCAGTACCTATGACAGTGGGTGAGCAGGGCATGCCACGCCTGAGATTTTGCTGACTGGGGTTGAAACCCTTGTGGACCGTTTTGGAGCACGGTGACCACTAATTCTCTGTGTTGTCTCTTTAGGAAACCGTATCACCCTAAACTGGAAGCTTTCGTTAGTCACATGTCAAAAGGATCCGGAGCCTCTTTCGAAAGCCCCCTGCACTCCCTGCCGCTTTACCCCAATCACGCACTGTGTGAGATGGGCGAGCTCACGCAGACAGGTATGCACAGCGGCCATTTGCTCGTTCCTTCTCCTGTGTGCTCCTCCATTTGGCGTACATCAGAGCAGATGCGCCTGGGCTAGGCTCTGTGGGCTCACGGGAGTGAATAAGGGCTAGTACCTCAAGCAGCTCTGAGTCCACCAACGTCTCTACACACACGATTTCTAAAAATTAAAAATAACCCTTTTTATATTGCAAAAGCAGTATAGTCAATGGAAGAGAAGTTAGGAAAGACAGCAAGCAAAAGGAAGAAAAACGTAAAGTACCCATAACCCTAGTCCACTGAAGAAATTAGTATCCTGTTTTCTTTCGTTTATGTGCATGCTTACGCGCACACAGCGGTAGCTTACTAAACACAGTGTTTTGTAACTCACCTTTTCGTTTAACGGTACGTTGTGATAGTCTTTCCCTGTCAACAAATATTTGTCAACAACATCATTTCTTTTTTTTTTTTTTTAATTTAAATCCACGTTAGTTAACATATGGTGTAATAATGATTTCAGGAATAGAATTTAGTGATTCATCACCTACTTATAACACCCAGTGCTCATTCCAGCAAGTGTCCTCCTTAATGCCCCTTGCCCAAGCCCATCCCCCGACCCAAGACCCCTCCGGCAACCCTCAGTTTGTTCTCTGTATTCAAGAGTCTCTTATGATTCATCTCTCTGTTTTTATATTATTTTTTAACAGCATCATTTCTGATGTCTGCCTATTATCCCACTCTTGCTGGGCCATAATTGCTGTAACCAATCCCATGTCCTTCGATACTTCAAAGAAAATAACCTGATTAAGTTTGGATGGGAGAGATCTCAGGAACAAACACATATGGCAGATCCCCAGTGAGCACGGAGTTTGTCTGGCTGAGAGTGTTCCTCACAGAAACCCATCTTTCTCTCTGTAGCCCTGTTCATACCACTACACAGCCAGTTCACTGTCATGTTAGGTTGGTGAGTTAACTGTGGGGTCACCTCTGTTGAGAAGAGAAGGAACTGGGAATCTCCCAATAGGTTCTGGTTTCTTCCTACTTCAGTCTGGGATCTCAAAGGACCTTTTGCATGGTCACCAGTCTTTTTGGAAGAATCGGGAGAACCTACCGGCCATGTTGTTACCTTGTCCCACCAGTACTGTAGGACCTCAGCTTTGATGGAAGGAAGGTCTCTGTCCTATGGTTGGCCCTGTGGATTTGTCACATATTTTTTAAAGTTTATTTATTTGAGAGAGAGTGTGTGCTCAGGTGTGGGAGGGGCAGAGGGAGAGGGAGAGAGAGAATCCCAGGCACCCCAGGCCTGTAGTAGTTTAAAACAGGAGTTCTCATCCTATCAGACCACGCACCTCTTTTTGTTAACAGGTATTTTGTGGTGCTCCTTTAACCATCCTGAAGTGAAATTCAAATATAATATGACCTATTTTAAAGAAGGGCAATTATATCAGATACCCTAACTCTAATATAAAGAAGAAACAAAAGGAAATGAATTTGTTATATAATTTTATGTCTCAATATAAAAGCTTGAGGGGCGCCTGGGTGGCGCAGTCGGTTAAGCATCCGACTTCAGCCAGGTCACGATCTCGCGGTCTGTGAGTTCGAGCCCCGCGTCGGGCTCTGGGCTGATGGCTCAGAGCCTGGAGCCTGTTTCCGATTCTGTGTCTCCCTCTCTCTCTGCCTCTCCCCCGTTCATGCTCTGTCTCTCTCTGTCCCAAAAATAAATAAACGTTGACAAAAAAAAAATTAAAAAAAATATATATAAAAGCTTGAGCACACCCACGCTAGCAAATAGAATGACACAGTCGGTTATTTATGCGGACAACTGTGACAACTGTGACAGTTGTAAATGCAGTCTGACTAAGGGATATTACACCGGGGACTCTAAAACCATGTTTTGGGACATGATTTTTTTGGCAAGTTCTGATCAAAGTAAGATCAGACGTCCCTTAATTTATATTGCATATCTGGAAAAAATCAGTGGATGTTAATCGTATGTAAAAATGGTTTTATATTTATGACACAAAGAAACAGGTTGTAGGCTAAAGTATTTTAACAGGTTTTTCATGTGTGGGAATATTTTGTGGTACACAAAAGTTAGGTGGGACAGAGAACAGTTCCTTGTGGAGACTGTCTAGCTCCGTGGCCCCCACCCACTAAGTATCAAGAATGTTCTTCCCCACATTATTGTGACAACTCAACCCCCAAACGCTCCCTGAGACCAGAGCCATGCTTGCTGAGAACCATTGGTCACACTCTCTGGTTGCAAGCAACAGAAACCAACTCAAGCAAAAGAGGGACATTTATTGTAAGGATTCAGGGTGATTCACAGACTTAGATTTAAGGGCAAGAATATGACCAGGCCTCCAGAGACTGGAACCAGGAATAAAAAAAGCTGTCTGTCCCAGCTTCTGTGGTTTTGCTCTGTCCACAGAGTGACAGTCTTAGCCACACCCAGAGATGAACTGCAAGTCCAAATTCTTTTTTTCCCTCATGGGTGTCCTCTTTTTTTTTTTTTTTTTTTTTTTTTTTTATTTTAGAGAGAAAGCACGAGCAGGGGAGAGGGGTAGAGGGGAGAGAAAGAGAATCTCTAGCAGGTTCCATACTCAGCATGGAGCCAGACACAGGGCTCATTCCCACAACCCTGGGATCATGACCTGACCCAAAATCAAGAGTCACATGTTCACCCGACTACTGAGTGCCCCAAGTCCAAATTCTTGAGAGAGAGAGAGAGAGAGAGAGTGTGTGTGTCTGATGGGGTCCTTCAGGGTCAGTGCCCATCAGCTGGCTAGGAGGTCAGGGTGACTAGGCATTGAGCAGTGGGGGCCCAGCCACTAGATCCAGGGGCTGTTCCCTGAAAAGAGGTTGGGGGAGGTGGCCCTTACACACTTAGAGACAATTGTTCATTCTGACCTCTCTTCTCAATTGGTCTATTATCTACATCGTTTTCTAAATCAACATTACTCTAGAAATCATTTTCTCAGTACTGTTTGTTCCTGTTCCCTTATTCTCTTTTTTAATGCTCACTTTTATCTTCTATTCTAAATTTCGTTAAAAACATATGGATGTTAGAATAACCATTTATAACTGAAACACTTTTGGCACCCCCACGGTAACTATATAAGATTGATCATTAGTGCCTACTCTATTCAAGACGCTTTGGCAGCTGCTGAGTGTAGGAGAGAGGAGTGGCTGGATGAGTAGATGCTCCCCGGCTTGTCCTAAAGGAACCTGCAGCTGCCATGGGACAGCGCGCAAGAAGGCAGCTCACCATGCTGCTGCAAGCTGCACGGTCCTACAGAGTAGACCCAGGGCTGTAGAGTGCACAGGCCTGTGAAACGGGACCGTTGACGTCCGCCTGACAGGGCCGGTGAGGCGGTGAGCGAGATTAGCGTGTGTAAAATGCCTAGCACGGTGCCAGCCTACTCTAAGCTCAGTGATTAAAGCTCAAGCCCTGGAGATCCAGTGACAAATTGGAACAGGAAGGAATTTTTTTTAAGCTTATTTATTCTGAAAGAGAGAGCATGGGAGGGGCAGAAAGAGAGGGAGAGAGAGAATCCCAAGCAGGCTCTGTACTGTTAGCACAGAGCCGGATGCGGGGCTCAAACTCACGAACCGTGAGATCATGACCTGAACCGAAACCGAGTGTCAGACGCTCAACCAACTGAGCCATCCAGGTGTCCCAGGAAGGAATTCTTGATCTGACCTGGAGGAGGAGGAAGGAAGACTACAGAGAAGGCAGTATTGGAGGTAGAGACTGGATGAGGATTTCTCTAGGCAGAGCAAGGGGAAGGGCATGAACAAAGCCATGAAGAGATATATGTTGGGAGAGGATAGGAGACCCTAAATGGCTAGAACATAGTATTTCTGCATGAAAATGCAGGGAGAAGGCACTGTGAGCAGGGACTAGGAGGGTGAGGTTGGGCCTGCGGGGGTATTGAGGGTCTTGAGTTCCAACTCTGCCGCTTAACAGCTCGGTTTCTTCAGCTGTAAAATAAGGAAATTGGGTATGATGATAATATGCTTTCTTTATCAGGTTTTTGTGAGGATGAAAGGAGAAAGATCTGGCATGTGGGAAGCACTCAGCCTTGATGTATGTAGCCTAGGCATAGGTAGACCCAGAGGTGAATTGGGGCCAGACACAGATTCTTAATCTTTGTCACTCATGGTTTGCCTCTTTATGCAAATCATTTTGGAAATAAATGCCTAAGACCTGTGTCAGCGCCGATCTCTGAAGGAATTCCCTCGATATTCTTCCTTCAGAACGGGACCCAGACACCCTTCATGATACTTTCTTTAGCTGTTCCCCCTTCCCGGGCCAAAGCAGTTCCCTCTGTCTCATGCACCTCAGCCTTGAGTTGTCTCAGGTTTTCATATCATTTGGGCATCTGAATAAGTGACATTGGTCATGAACTGGTCATGGGGCCTGCATGTGGCTTACCCTCTCCGAGAATTCATATCTGTTGCTGAGATTCCATCACCCCTACATCCTACTGCTTGGAGGGTGAGCTTGCAGATTGTTTTCTGTTTGAAGATAAGGCTTTTCTTCTTTTTTTTTTTTTTTCAAGATAATGTGTTACCATACTGTGGTGGTTCAAAAATAAAACTTGTTAAACTTTTAGTTAACAGGTAAATTTAAAATTTTTGTTCCTATGTTCCATTTATCCCATTTCTGTGCCCCTGTCATCCCCAGGTAACCATTGGTATTAGTTTCTTGCATGTCCTTCCAAAGGTTCTTTAGGCAAAACACAGACACATTCTGTAGTTTATGCAAAACCACAAATATACATTCTTACTTTTCCCTCATTTTTATTTAAAAGGGCTATAATAAATGTACTGTTCTGCACTTTGCTTTTTTTCAAGTATTCTATCCGGTATCTGAGCAATCATTCCATATCTGTGCAGACAAAATATCCTTGATGAGCTGGTAACCCTGCGGCAGGATTAGACGGAATGCCGCTAGAAGGTTAGCAGAGAGCCTTCGCTTGGGACAGTGGGGAGAATGAGGGAGAGGACTCCACGGCAGTGAGGGGACTAGGGAGCCAGCAAGCAACTTTTTTTCTTTACCTGAGTGATTCCCATGGGCCCTCACTGCATACTAAAGAATGCTGTGTCCTTGGGCAGGTTGGAGAAAGCTCTCCTTAGGCCCATGCCAATTACAGCCTTGACACCTACCAGCAGGGCATTTCCTGCCTTCTGAGGCCCACCAGTCACGATGCCCCTTCCCAGGGAAGGGGCTGGACAAGAAGGGAGGGGTTGGTGCTCCCCAGCTCTACCCATCCCTTCATGGATGATAACCCCAAGGGGCTCCCTTCACGAGCTGATGGAGCTTCCACACGCTGGGGGATGGTTTTGGTTATATTCTCAGGCACTGATGTAAAGCATTGTAGAGTTGGCCACAGACTTGACTTCCCTTTGCTACTCCTTCTGCTGAGCTAGTAGTGAGGGCAGCTCGTGTCCCTGTGTTTCAGGAGTCGTGCAGCATTTGCAGAATGGCCAGCTGCTGAGGGACATCTATCTAAAGAAACACAAACTCCTGCCGAATAACTGGTCCACAGACCAACTTTACTTGGAGACCACTGGGAAAAGCCGGACGCTCCAGAGTGGGCTAGCCTTGCTTTATGGTTTTCTCCCCGATTTTGACTGGAAGAAGATTCATTTTAGGCACCAGCCAAGTGCTCTCTTCTGCTCCGGAAACTGCTATTGTCCCCTGAGAAACCAGTATCTGGAAAAGGAACAGCGTCGGCAATACCTCTTACGTTTGAAAAACAGCCAGCTGGAGAGGACCTACGAGGACATGGCCAGGATCGTGGATGTCCCCACCAAACAGCTTCGAGCGGCCAACCCCATAGACTCCATGCTCTGCCACTTCTGCCACAACGTCAGCTTCCCGTGCACCAGAAATGGCTGTATTGACATGGAGCACTTCAAGGTGATCAAGACACATCAGATAGAGGACGAGAGAGAGAGGCGGGAGAAGAAACTGTATCTGGGCTATGCACTCCTGGGCGCCCACCCCATCCTCAATCAGACCGTCACCCGGATGCAGCGTGCTGCGGAGGGCAGGAAAGAAGAGATCTTCACCCTCTACTCTGCTCACGATGTCACCCTGTCACCAGTTCTCAGTGCCTTGGGCCTTATGGAAGCCAGATTCCCAAGGTTTGCAGCCAGGTTGATCTTTGAGCTCTGGCAAGACAGAGAAAAGCCCAGTGAGCATTCTGTCCGGATTCTTTATAATGGTGTTGATGTCACGTTCCACACCTCTTTTTGCCAGGACCACCACAAGCATTCTTCCAAGCCCATGTGCCCCCTAGAAAACCTAGTCCGCTTTGTCAAAAGGGACATGTTTGTGGGCCTGGGGAGTAGTACTAGTACTAATTATTATGATGCATGTCACAGGGAAGGATTCTAAAAGGTGAGCAGCACAGTGCTCATAGAATCTATGCCAATAGAGAGGGATGGGAAGGGTCTGCTTCTAGTTCTGTCTGTTGCCAAGGGTTTAAGATTATTGATTTATAAAGGCTAGAAATTGTGTTTTAGAGCCACGTAGATGGTTGGGTTGAACAGTAAGTACGTCGCTATAATTGGGTACACGAGTTAGTTACTTGGTACATAATGGCCAGTTCACAGAGAAAGGGAAGGTACTTTTATCAGAGCCAGACTTTGCTTACAACGCCAGAATAATAATTCAATACTCAGAGTTGGCGATCCACATGTATATTATTTTGATCCGCCATGGTACTATATGATGGAACCAGCAAACCTCAGCCCGCATTTTCTTCACCTGGGACAATTTTACCTTGTCCTAACTTCAAGGAAACATTTCCTGAAGTAATTTATCTGAAATAGGGGTCGGCAAATTTTTTCGGTACAGGGCCAGATAGTAAAGATTTCAGACTTTGAGCACCCAAAGGCCACATACAGTCCTCACTGTTCAGCTCTGCTCTTGGAACATGAAAGCACCCACAGACAGCACATAGCCAGACGAGTGTGGCTGTGTTCATGGGCTGCAGTGTGCTGACCCCTGACCTCAGAAAACTGGCTCCTCTACAGTTTGCACTTTCAGCGCTTTAAGAAGCAATTGAACGCAGAGAATTATTCAGTGGTGCCTCCAGTAACCTCCACTAGACACACCGAATTTGGTCTATATCTGGTGTTACAATAAAACTTGAGGGGAAGTAAATATCAAATCCGAATGAATCATAGAAAAATTGTTAGAATAATACTTGATGTTCATGATGATCGTGGTAGATGATAGTTTTAAGTATGTTTTAAATATTTGTCTGCTGTAGTCTATTTGCTGTATATGCTGAGATTTTTGTATCCCATTTAGTATTTTTATAGTCTGGGAAAATATTTTCTAAGGCCAGTTTTAGATGTGCTCTTATTCCTATGTGATATTCAATTTACTGTACCTGCTTGGTGGTTAGAAGGAAAGCCAGAAGCTGAATTCAGGCACTTTCTTCCAATAAAACCAATTATGGCCCCTTCCCTTTGACCAGCCCTAGAATTAGATCAGTTTTTAAACCATTTTCGTCAATTTCAAATGGTAAATTCTAACTGATTTTTAAATAAGTTTTTGGAAGAACTTTGTTACTAGATAGTTAAATAAGCTTTATAAGGTATTTTATATATTAGAAGCAATTATAATGAAATCTGTGGTTTCTGAACTAAAATGGTGCTAGTTCCTTGTGAAGAAATGTAAAGTGCAGGTGAGACTTTCCTGTGTCGTTGGCATTCCAAACTTTTTGTTTTTGTCTAATGTTGCCTTTGGATACATACGTCCATTTCTATAAATAAATTTTTGAAGAATACTCGTACATACAAGTCATGGTTTGTACCTATGGGTCTTTTCAAGTAAGTTCCGGTATTTTAGAAATGTATCCTTTTGTTGTTGTTGTTGTTGTTGTTGTTGTTGTTGTAAGTAAAAATGTTGCAAATTAGACAACTCTCCAGGACCTGCGGAGCAAAGAGGCCAGGACCCGTGGCCCGGCTGCAGGCTGCGCATGGGGCCCAGAGGACATGCACAGCTAGTGGCCTTGGACTGGTTTGAAATCCATTTACACAGCTCCTTTCATTGCTGAAAATCATGTGCTGTCTCTTGAGTATTTAAACCTAATCAGTTGGTTTTTGCTTCCACTCACGGTATATTTGAATTAGGACTGCTAAACACAGTTTGAAGATTTAAAACCAAAAGTGAATCAGAAGATGTTTTAAAAATCAGTTGGAAACATCTCTTGATAAAGGTAAATATTTTGGATAAAAGTCAACATTAAAAGCATAGGTAAGAGGTTTTTGCCTCCCAAGACATCAGGTATGTACATCATTAATATACCTTCCTCAGCATCAAGTACTGAGACATCTCTCTCCATAAACAAACATTGAGCACTGAGCCGAGATTAATGCATTAGGTTCTTGGTTTCTGGGCAGTGGTCTTAATGGCTTAGTTCATGGCAGGTGTGGGTGCAAATTCAGCTTTCTTGTTTTTATGATTAAAATTAATACATGCTTACTGGAAAACAATCAAACTATACTGAAAGTGGCTTCAAGTGAAGTTCTCTTTTCTCACCTCCAGAGAGAACACTGTGAGCTGTTTGACAGACTCTTCCAGAAATTTTCCATGCAGATGTACAAATATATGTAATTTTTAAATAAGATCACTTTGTATATATTATTCTGTGATTTGCTTCCCTTAAAATATATTTCTTATTAACTTACTTCCCTTAACAGTATGTCTTGGAGGTATTTCCACATTGAGATAGATGATAGGTAGGTAGCTATCTAATATTTGCATAATATTTAATGATATAGATGAGACTTTTTGAGAATTTTTTTTCATGATTATTTATTTTTGAGAGAGCGAGAGAGACAGAGCACGAGCTGGGAAGAGGCAGAGAGAGGGGGAGACACAGAATCCGAAGCAGGCTCCAGGCTCTGAGCTGTCAGCACAGAGCCTGATGCAGGGCCCGAACCCGCAGACTTCAAGATCATGACCTGAGCCGAAGTCAGACACTTAACTGACTGAGCCGCCCAGGCTCCCCTAAAGACATATTTTTAAAATATTAAATTAATGAAATTGAAACTTAAAACCAAGGTACTAAAATGAGACCACAGGCTTTTGAGGTACACAGAACAAGCAGAAGCCAGTGATTGTATACGTTAATTTTGTAGCCCAATTGAGCAGTTAACCCTTTTTCAGTACAGCTGCAGATATTAACATGACTAGAGTGTTTCTCAAATTTCACTGATAAACAATTGGAGAACTTAATACTGCTGTTAACCCTATTTGAGGATCTTCGAGGCTATAGCAGAATTAGGCTTTTGAAAGATGTGAGTGATTCCTTTGCCTAGGACCCCTAAAAACTGATACAGGAGAGGCAGGGATGCATGCTTCCATTTCTGTGAGTCTTCAGGAAGCCTTCTGAACAGATTTAGCAGCCCAAGCTAGTGTGGGTGTAGCCGGGTGTGTTTAAACACAGCCCCAAGTACAGAGCAGAAAACAGCTAGGGTTTTTACATTGCAGTACTGGCTTTGATAGTGGCCAGAGTTCTGGCCTGGGCCCCAATTAACTCCCATTGCTCAAGGCCACTGAACTAAATGTTGGTACCTGCCCTGTAGCCATCTCATGAATAATAATACTTGTGCTTGAGAGGAACCAGCCGAATTCAGAGTGTCTGGTCAGGCCGTCCTGGCCTCTGAAACCCACTTGCCAGCTGAGACTGGCCTTGATGTGAGGAGCAGGTATCACTGGAGGGTCCACTTGGCTCTTCCCAGAGCTGCGGAGCCCTTCAGCAGGGGGCGGCCTGAGGCCTGGCTTCTGGATACCTGGGAGCAGTAAAGGCACCATTTTGGGGTCACACTTCCCTTGAGAAATGCCCCACAAGCATTTCTTTATCAATCTAAATGCTCTCAAGAAGTTCCTATTACCCCTAACACAAATGGGGAAGCAGGCTGGAGTGGGGTACGGGGGTGAAGTCACTTTTCCAAAAGAAGAGCCAAGCCTAGTGTCCAACCCAAGTGTGTGTGACACCGGTCAACTTCATAGCGCTTGTACTGTGTAACACATCATGGAAAAGTCTTTTCCTAGACTAATTTCACCCTTCCAATAGCCCTACAAGATACCATATTTGCTGGTGAATATCAATGAGTACTAAAACATAGTGGGGTTACAACTGTTAAAAATTTAAGTGATCAGGAAAATATTCCAGCTGTGCCTCTGACCATCTGTGGTTGCTGCTTTTCTTATGAAAAAGCCACATAATATAAAACTAATCTTTGCAGTGATGCTATACTCAGCCATTAAGGGATGGCATCAAACATAATGTCTAGCCTTCAGGGAGGGCCCAGTCTTCCATCTGTAAAGGAGATAGGGTAGTTTGGGGCGCGTGTTTGAATAGGGAGACCAACTGTCCCGGTTTGCCTGGGACTAAGGAGCTCCCCAGGATGAGGGACTTTTCATTGCTAAAATTGAGCACGTTCCAGGCAAACTGTGACAGGCTGGTTACCCCAGGGTTACATGAGACACGTGTCAGGTAGTACCATCATTCCCACTTTATAGAAACAGGTAAGTGTGATGGTGTGACCCATCTGAGATTTCACACAGTAGGCAGCAGAGGTAGGACTCAAAGCTCTTGCCCGTTTAACTCGAAGGACCATGTTCTTAAGCAGGACACGACAGTGCCTCTCAAAACCATTTAGGACTCTGGGTGCCACAGAAACCTGAATACAATGGTTAAGCAAATAAAGCCTTTCATTTTCCCCAGTGGCCCGAGTGTCAGAAACCCAGACTGCTATTTACATCTTACTGGCTGGAACAGGATCCATTGGCCCACCTCCATTGCAAAGGAATCTAGGAGAGTGAATATTTTTGTTGGGCACATTGCTGTCTCTTTTTTTTTTTTTTTTTAATATTTTTTAAATGTTTATTTTTTGAGAGAAACAGAGTGTGAGTGGGGGAGGGACACAGAGAGAGGGAGACACAGAAGCTGAAACAGGCTCCGAGCTCCAAGCTGTCAGCACAGAGTCTGACGCAGGGCTGGAACTCATGGACCATGAGATCGTGACCTGAGCTGCAGTCGGACACTTAACCAAGTGAGACACCCATGCGCCCCAGGTGCCTCTTAATAAGGAAGAATGGGGAGTGGATATTGGGAAGACCACTTCACGACTCTTCCCCAGCAGCTGGCAGTGTCTCCTTACTGGGACAGCCGCATCCAATGAGTAGGCAAGGCAGGGATTGAAAACCCTGGTGACAACGCTGAGGGGCCATCCCATCCCTGTTTCAGCACTCCCCATGGCATCAGCGGAGGCCTCATGACTGCATCACAGTCCACTTCTGCCTCATCTCCTGCCTCCCCTTCCTCCGCAGCATTGGCCCCAAGAACATTTCACGAGTAAACTTCCCACATGCAT